CCCTGACACAGCTGTTGCAAGCCGTGCTTGTGACTATTTCAATGACAATGTTATGGCCCATTTTAGGAAAGTCTTGAAGGAACGGGAGGTACAGAGCTCTATGGACAGATTTGTTGTGCGACAGAGGTCCAGTGACTCTCAAGCTGGTCCTAGTGGCATTAAAAGAAGAAGGGAAGTAACCCCAGAAAAGGACTTGCTACCTCAAGTCCTAATGGAAGGGGATTCCCCTTCTAAACAGTAAGAAGATAATGCTCTCCCTCCTCCATCCCATCAATCATCACCAGATCTTCAATAAAAGTAAGTGTCATGTAATTGTGCATGCCTTTTTCAGTTTGTGTGTATTAAAATTAACATTTCATGTGGTAAAAAAAAAATTTTTTCATACTTTTGGGCGTCTTGCACGGATTAATTTTATTTCCATTATTTCTTATGGGGAAAATTCATTCGCATAACGATTATTTCGCATAACGATGAGCCCTCTTGCACGGATTAAAATCGTTAACCGGGGGTCCACTGTATTTTAAGATTGAGATTGATATTTCTGTTTATGGTCAAATGGGTGAGCGAGTGTAAGTGTGAACCACCAGGTGGTATTCGTGTAATTAGTTGACAGGGTGTATCAGGGAGATAAGATGTTTTCTGATGGTATCTTTGAAGGTGATGAATGTGTCTGCAGTTCTAGAGTTTTCAGGTAGGGTGTTCCAGATTTTAGGGCCTTTGACATACACTGAATTTTTGTAAAGGTTTAGTCGGACACGGGGAATGTCATAGAGATGTTTGTGTCTGGTGTTATGCCTGTGGGTTCTGTCACAACTATCAAGAAAGCGTTTTAGGTCAAGGTTAATATTGAAAATTAAGGTCCTGTAGATGTAGATTGCACAGTAGTAAGTGTGGATGTACTGAACAGGGAGTAAGTTTAGATCTATGAAGAGTGGGGGGGTGTGTTGCCAGGGATGGGATTTAGTGATTATTCTTACTGCAGCTTTTTGTTGGGTTATTATTGGCTTTAGGTGTGTTGCTGCAGTTGAACCCCAAGCACAGATAGCATAGGTGAGGTATGGATATATAAGTGAATGGTATAGTGTGAGAAGGGCAGTTTGCGGCACGTAGTATCGTATCTTGGAGAGGATCCCAACCGTTTTGGATACTTTTTTGGTTATGTGTTGGATATGGGTGCTGAAATTCAGGTTGTTGTCGAGGTATAGGCCTAGGAATTTGCCCTCATTATGTCTAGCAATTAGAGTGTTGTCGATCTTAATGTTAATTTGCGCATCTCCTGCTCTGCTACCAAACATAATGTAGTAGGTTTTGTCAGTGTTAAGCGTAAGTTTATTGGCTGTCATCCAAGTCGATATTTTGATCAGCTCCTCGTTAACAATGGTGTTGAGGGTGGCAAGATTAGGGTGAGAGATGACATAAGTCGTGTCGTCAGCAAAGAGAATGGGGTTCAGGTGTTGAGATACGTTTGGAAGATCATTGATGTATATGAGGAAGAGCAGGGGACCAAGGACACTTCCCTGTGGAACTCCAGTATCAAGTGGCCGTGTTGTTGATGCTGTGTCTTTAATGGTGACATACTGATACCTATTAGTAAGGTAAGATTTGAAATATGCAAGCGCATGGCCTCTTATACCATAATGGTCAAGTTTGTGGAGTAGTATGCCATGGTCTACTGTGTCAAAAGCTTTTCTTAGGTCAATAAAAATTCCTAGTGGTATAATGGTATAGGAGGTAGGTTACTGAAAGCAGTGAAGAGTTTTTACGAGGATAGTGAGGCTCAAGTTAGAGTATGTAGGAAAGAGGGAGATTATTTCCCAGTAAAAGTAGGCCTTAGACAAGGATGTGTGATGTCACCATGGTTGTTTAATATACAGTATTTATAGATGGGGTTGTAAGAGAAGTAAATGCGAGGGTCTTGGCAAGAGGTGTGGAGTTAAAAGATAAAGGATCACACAATGTGGGAGTTGTCACAGTTGCTCTTTGCTGATTACACTGTGCTCTTGGGTGACTATGAAGAGAAGTTGCAGAGGTTGGTGGATGAATTTGGCAGGGTATGTAAAAGAAGAAAATTGAAAGTGAATACAGGAAAGAGTAAGGTTATGAGGAAAACAAAAAGATTAGGTGATGAAAGATTGGATATCAGATTGGAGGGAGAGAGTATGGAGGAGGTGAATGTATTTGGGAGTGGACGTGTCAGCGGATGGGTCTGAAAGACGAGGTGAATCATAGAATTGATGAGGGGAAAAGGGTGAGCGGTGCAACTTAGGAGTCTGTGGAGACAAAGAACTTTGTCCTTGGAAGCAAAGAGGGAAATGTATGAGAGTATAGTTTTACCAACGCTCCTGTATGGGTGTGAAGCATGGGTGATGAATGTTGCAGCGAGGAGAAGGCTGGAGGCAGTGGAGATGTCATGTCTGAGGGCAGTGTGTGTAAATATAATGCAGAGAATTCGTAGTTTGGAAGTTAGGAGGAGGTTTGCGGGATTGCCAAAACTGTTGTCCAGAGGGCTGAGGAAGGGTTGTTGAGGCGGTTCGGACATGTAGAGAGAATGGAGTGAAACAGAATGACTTCAAGAGTGTATCAGTCTGTAGTGGAAGGAAGGCGGGGTAGAGGTCGGCCTAGGAAAGGTTGGAGGGAGGGGGTAAAGGAGGTTTTGTGTGCGAGGGGCTTGGACTTCCAGCGGGCATGCGTGAGCGTGTTGATAGGAGTGAATGGAGACAAATGGTTTTTAATACTTAACGTGCTGTTGGAGTGTGAGCAAAGTAACACTTATGAAGGGATTCAGGGAAACCGGCAGGCCGGACTTGAGTCCTGGAGATGGGAAGTATAGTGCCTGCACTCTGAAGGAGGGGTGTTAATGTTGCAGTTTAAAAACTGTAGTGTAAAGCACCCTTCTGGCAAGACAGTGATGGAGTGAATGATGGTGAAAGTTTTTCTTTTTCAGGCCACCCTGCCTTGGTGGGAATCGGCCAGTGTGTTAATAATAAAAAAAAAAATAATTATTATTATTATAATATGTAAGTACTAATAATAATGATAATACATAATAATAATAATACATAATAGTACAATAATAATAATTATAATAATAATACTATATACTGCGTATAATTTAGTTAGACACCACCACCACAATGCTCACAAGCGCATATGTGCTTACGGACCTACCCTCGTTGTGCAAGGAATTCTCGTGATTTCCTTACATTTCGTGCAGTTAATTCACCAAATTTCTTTCTTCTAACCATGGGTCCTAAGGAAGCAAGTGCAAAGGACAGTGTTGAGAAGAAAATGAGGATGATTTTCATGGAATTAAAGCAAGAAATGATTAATAAGCACAGACTAGGTACGAGGGTTGAGGACTTGGCGAGTTGAGTACAAGTTTAGCCCTTCTACTATATGTACCTATGGGTTTAGCGCTTCCCAATGATTATTATAATAATAATAATAATAATAATAATAATAATAATAATCTGCTATATGTGTGTGTAATACTAAAGCAGGAGGAGTGTATAAAGGCCATAGTGCCAGCAAAGGGCGTTACAGTAATTGCTGACATGGTTGACGGAGAAACAGCTCACAGGAGATACGTAGTGTAGCGAGATAAACAAAAATTGTACATAGCAGTTCTTAAGAAAAGCGTGAACTTCTGACAGGATATGCCGCTCTGCATTTCTTCTCCAAGATATGTAAATGTCATGTGTACACTAGATCTAATTCAGTTAGCCTCATAAATTCCGTTTTCTCTTATAACACCTCTGACGTTTTCATTGCTAGAATGTTCAACCACAATCATCCTTCCTCTGCTGTCCACATAATGGCATATTTTATTCATTCTAGACTGTATATCAGGTTTCTATGTTATTTATATTGTTTATTATGTCATATTAGATGAATAAGCCATAGAGTTGATATTAGGGTTATTTTGTCATGCCTCCTGAGAGCAGGAATTCAGCTGGAATGAATTAATTGCATTACAATTAATGTAAATGAGGAAAATTGACCCAGCATACAATGAAATCAGGATATGAACAAGTCCAAGGAACGGATTAAATTCGTAAGCCGAGGTTCCACTGTATGCTCCTTTCTTAGCAACAAATTTGTTTACCGACGTAGTCTTAGGAATGGAACTCTGTCATTAAGTGAGGAGAGGCTGTACTGTACTTACTATGATAGTCTTTCCAAGGGCTATTCAATTTTTATTTACTTTTTCAATCGCATTTACAAAAAACTGCACTATATAGATAAGTTTTATGAGAGAAGTAACTGTCACTACAGTATGTACTAAAAAAAATATTTTCTGTTAACCCTTTGACTGTCGCGGCCGTATATATACGTCTTACGAGGTACCGTGTTTGACATATATATACTCATAAATTCTAGCGGCTTCAAATCAAGGAGGAGAAAGCTGGTAGGCCCACATGTGAGAGAATGGGTCTGTGTGGTCAGTGTGTACCATATAAAAAAATCCTAGAGCATGCAGTGCATAATGAGAAAAAAAAAACTCCGACCGTTTTTAATTAAAATGCCAACTTTGTGGTCTATTTTCGTATAGTATTTATAGTTGTATTCTCGTTTTCTTGGTCTCATTTGATAGAATGGAAAACATATTATAGAAATAGAGGTGATTTTGATTGATTTTACTATAAAAAGAACCTGGAAATGGAGCTCAAAGTAGGGGAAATGTTTGATTTTTGCCGATGTTCAAAAGTAAACAAATGATGTCATTGTCCAATAAATGTCCAACTAACCATTCTAATATGCAGTCATGAATGGGTTGATATTATTTCTACAATTATTACAGTATTGCAGTAGTCTGCATAATAGTAAATCTTCTATTTTTTGTTTGAATAAAAATTCAAAATAGAAAGCAAGAGTAATATCAGAGGGGCCTGGAGACATGACTGATGAACAAAGAAAATGTTATTTTAGAGCCAGGAATGTCTGCATTGTTCATTCTGGACCTTATTTTGAAATTGTCATATTTTTTAGTTTTCGTGAAATTGGCCAAATTGCAAATTTCTGACCACGTTATTGGGTAGTTGAAATTGGTAAATGGGCAGTTTCTTGTACTCAATCGATAGAAAAAAATGGAGTTCTAAAGAAATAGCTATGAGTTTGGTCGACTGGAACAATGGAATTAGCCGAAAACAGGGCTCAAAGTGGGCGAAATCGCCGATTTGTAAATATCGCCAAGGTCATTAACTTTGCGAGAGTGTAATTCCGTCAGTTTTCCATCAAATTTCGTTTTTTTGGTGTCATTACAATCGGGAAAAGATTCTCTATCATTTCATAAGAAAAAATAGTTTTTTTTTTTTTTAAATTTTGTGACACCAGGAGACACCTCAGGATTGGGGGTTGCGACAGTCAAGGGGTTAAATATACGGTGTGCTAAAACCATACCATACTACAATATTTCTGTACAAGAACTGAGTATGACTAGAATGATTAAAATGGTACACTAATCTGAAACAAGATCACCTGCCTTTTGTGACTGTGTCATCAGATTCCATAGGTATTTCATGGTTGCTTCTGTCACTGTGGAATGATTTTGCAGTTTCTCTCTTGTGGAGGGCAAAAGATGACTGAAATTGAAAAGTCAGTCTTCATCTTGATAGATTCCTTATAAACTACTGTGCTGTCATTCAAAATATAAAAGTCATGCTCCATATTACCTGCAAATCCAGAAGTGTAACAGTTAAAATTATTATTTTTATTATAATAACAATAATGAACCAGTCTACGGAACCTATGCCGATAGCTTGGACTTTCTTACATAATATAATATTGTGGTTGACAGTATTGAAGGCCTTTTGCAAGTCTAAGGTTACCATTCCTATGAGGCTCCCTATCAATATTTCAGTTCTCATGTAATCCATCAGATTAATTAAGGAGGTGTCGGTTGAGTAAGACCTCCTAAAGCCTGACTGGTAACTATGAAGAATATTGTTGCTATTAAGATACCTAACTACTTGACAGTACAGCACCCTCTCTAGAATTCTGGATATTACATTGAGTATACTAACAGGCCTAGAGTTGCTGACATCAGACCTATTATTTTTCTTGAAGATAGGATTAACTCTGGCCTCCTTGAACCCCTCTGGTACGGTATTAGTGGTGATGGACAAATTTATTACGTGAGCAATGGGGATTGGAAATTCAGAGATACCATCTTTTAGGAACTTAGATGGGATGCTATCTGGGCCGATGCTCTTAGTTGGGTTTAACCTGCTTAGTTCTTTTTGCACCAAGTCATGAGATACACTTACTAGTTGACAACTGCTTGGGGTTACCCCTTTATTGGTATACAATGTTTTAAACTTATCAGAGTCTGTTAATGGTGTTTGATGCAGCTGGTAGTTTACTTACTAGAGTTGATGCAACAGATGTGTAGTTGGAATTAAAACAATTTGCCACTTTAGTTGTTTCGTGGCATACCTCGTTTTTGATATTTAGTACTACTATGTTAGATCTATCTATGGGTTTATGGCTATATCCCAACTGTTTAAGTTATTGCCAGAGTTTTCTAGGGTCATTCTTGTACTCTTCAATTTTTGAGCAATAGTGTAATATTATCAAGGATGGCAGTGAACATTGTTTTGAATTTTTTCCAGGCATCATTTACATCCGTGCAACTTGTTATCACTGTCTAGTCACAACTGTGTAGCCTATTTACCAGTGTTTCTTTACTGCAGTTTCTAGTTGACCTCATTTTTATTGTCCTGTGTAGGCCTATCCTATCCCTAGTGATTTTCCTGGTGCAGTGAATGATGAAATGATACACTTAGACCTGTGATAATGATGACTGACTAATATTCTCAGTGCAGTTACAAAGTATGTGGTCAGTTAGTGTGGCTGAGAACTGTGTGATCCGGGTTGGTGTATTATTTAGTTGAATGTAACTATTTAAACCTAGAATTTGCTTATACCTTTTACACAGCCAATTATTTTGCTGCTGAAAACAGATATTGAAGTCCCCCAGTATTACTGTATTGCAACTGTTCTCAAGTCCGGACAAAACTTTCAAAAAGTCTTCGAAGAGGTGGTCATGGGTGGGAGGGCGGTAACTAGTTCTTACTAAAGTGGGTTTGGTCTTGGGAAGTGACACTTCAGACCACAATGTCCAGTTTGTCATTTAAATCAGGTCTTGGATTGTCATTTCTTATGTAGGTACATAACCCACCACCTTTTCTATTCCTATCTCAGTGTTTTATAGTGTAACCTATTTTGGCCTCGTTGTCAGTATCATCCAACTAGGGTTCAGAGTTGGATATAACTGCTGCACTAGTTCTGTCACCTAGAATCCTAATCTCTGCCAATTTTGGAAAAAGTGGTGCTAGGTTTATAATTAACCACCATTTGTCTTAAGTGAACATTTTAAAAGGTTTCCACCCCATTTACTTACCACTTGGCAACCTCCTCCCCTTTTAATCTGGCGTAAAATGTTTCTCTTGATTCTTCTTTTTCTTTCTTTATTGTGTTTATCAGAGCCACTGACAGTATAAGACGTATCGATCCCGACTTCTCGATGGTACGAGGAAGATGTGTTGTCCAAGGCTGGGCGATGAAAGAAAAGGAACAAAAGTTCCTTTGTAAACAGAGATAGAAACTTGAAGTTTCCAATTAGATCTTTGTCAACCCCCAGCACAGCAGGACCCCCGCTTGAGTCCAGTAACCAGCTCCCCATCAAACACCGATAAAGAACTATCCACAGAGCGGGAAAAAATGGAGCTGGCTAAAAGTGAGCCGATGAACAGGTGCCCCTCCTGTAGTGCCCGGCGGGCGAAATAATCAAGGACAAGCGTCCCAGGGAGAACGGGGGAAATGTATCACTGATACTCAGGCGAAAGACAGACATCCACACCCAACGAAGGCTAGCGCAGAAGTCCCGAATGTCAGTGTGACAGTAGACTTCTTCTTTCTGTTGGGGGTTTATAGGGTCACTGTCAGCGTACACCGTATCGAACCCTGTCTCCAGTGTCCGGAAGAGAAACCTCGACCAGAGTGGACGGAAGTATACTAGTGGCGGTGCGTATTGTCCCCAGTGCACACAGAGGTCAGCAAGTACAGGATCTCCTGACGGTCTGGAGGGCCATACCCCTTCCCAGGAGAGGTAGGATCAAGGATTGTACCCCGAATGTGCGCAAGGCTGCACGGAAGAGAGTCCGTGCCAAGAAGTACCTTGGGCACCACAGCAGGAAATGCTGGGGCTATAAACAGATAGGTAGAGAGGGGATCAGAGGTAAGACTACGGAGAGGCCATCATACGGAGGCGGTGTGGATGAGCCGCCAGCTGTGAATGTCCTACCCGGATTATTATTATTTTTTATAGGAAGCGCTAAGCCACAAAGACTATACAGCTGTCCTACCTGGAGGCGGGTCGAGATGATGAGCAGTTGAAAGATCGGACGGAGCTCAATGCCAGATGCCCCTGCTAGAGACGGGGGATATCCCTCCAAGCACTCTGTGAAATCACTGCGGCCCACTGTAATGGGGGTAATGGTAATGGATGTGTGCAAGGGAGCCGCCCGATTAGCCACTTCATTGTCCCGAATGCCAACATGAGTTGGCATTCACTGACGAGAAATACTGCAGCATAACATATGTTAAACCCATCTTGAAGTATGTAGCGCCAGTATGGAACCCGCATTTGATAAAACATGTAAAGAGCCTGGAAAAAAGTCCAGAGGTTTGCATAGAGTTAAGAGGAGAGACTTAAGCTAAACCTGACGACATTAGAAAACAGGAGCAGCGGTGGCATAATTATGACGTACCAAATTCTGAGAGGAATTGACAGGCCGAGTCTTTTTGAGGGGGAGTCTCGGGTACACGAGATCTCAGCTTTTCGTAAGTTAAAAACATTGATGAATCACAGGGATGTTAGGAAATTCTTCACTCTTATCGTGGTCAGGAAGTGCAATGACCAAGACAGCAAAGTGGTAGAGGCAAGACCCATAATGAGCATAATAGGTCTCACGCAGCTAGGAGTGAACCCTGCAGCAACCAGCAGAAAGATGGGGGTCAGAAGCCTAGCCTCGCCGCTCCTCCCCGAGCAACCACAAATAGGCGAGCACACACCTCGATACTCGAGTTAACATAGGTTCATTTAGGCACAGGTGCATAAGTACAATTATCGTACATAGATTACCTAAGATATCCCATTAACAGGCTTTCCCTACGCCTAAGAGCTGATGTATATCTCGACCAATTGCCCAGAAGTGGGCAGTGTATGAGGACAAACGCCCCAGGGGTTAAAAAGATTGCAAATTCGACAGCAGTGCTCAAAGTGAGGCAACTGCACTCCACCAATACCGGTTCAGAAATCCTTCTGCCTTCTAGAGGAGCCACACTCCGGTGGTCGCCAGAATATACAGTCACGCTTCAGCCTATTATTACATTCACATGGAAGCGCTAAATCCATACAAGTCTTACAACGCCTAGGAAATGGGGGGTAATCATATATAACTATAATCTAAGGAAGGGGGAGAGTAGCTCCATTTTCTTAGATCAGAATGCCTGCCTTCACCAACATCTAGATCAAGGTGCTTCGTGACAGGTGATCATAGTAATAGTCACGCTACCTATGACAACCTGAGCTATCATACAATCTGTTATCTTTAGTTTACCGAAAACTGATAACAGGATAACCTTTTAACCTTTAAGATAGGTTATCTGCTGCACAAACTTAACATTAATCCACAAATGCTTGTTCTGGATATAGATGGATAACTATGTGGGGACCTCTACAAGTCAGGTGAGATCTTAGCCCAAAAGGATTATAAAGTTTTTTATATTTGATTTTAAGCAGGGGAAGCGTTAAACCCGCAGGGGTAGTATAGCCCAGAGAATGGGATGAAATCAGGGTTCATTCCAGGAAAACATAGTTCCAATCGAGAGCCGTTCAGCAGCATGAAGGCACCCTGAGAGGAAAAGTATCGTCCTGTGATACAAATATCAGCAGCTTAATAGAATAGAGATATTAAATAGGCAAACCTGACTAAATAATATTATGAATATTACAAGACTTTACTCACGATTTAATGTCCTTGCAGGAGGGATGGAGGATGATAGGAAGGATGGATGGATTGCAAGAACGATGGGGAATAGCAAGAGGGATGGAGGGATTGCCATTCAGCTGCACGCTGCAAATCACAGAGATGGACAAAAGCACCAACAAGGTCACTATGAGGTAACGAGCGAGAGTGGAAGGTGTGTGTGTGTGGGGGGGGGGGTCGAGTATAAATTCCTAGCCGTGCTCATCTATATGTAGTTGCCGGGGTCGAATCATAGCTCCTGGCCCCGCCTCTTCTCTGGTCGCTACTAAGTCTACTCTACCTACTCCAAGAGCTTTATCGTACCTCTTCTTAAAGCTATGCATGGATCCTGACTTCACTCTCCAGATTGTGTGTGTGATGCACAATCTACAGAGAACTGTCTACAAGTGACAAGTCTTGCTAATGGAGGGTGACCAAATACTCACCTTCAGTCAGCCTTTAACCTGGTATTCGCCAGTAAGGTTCACCGCGCCCACTACTTCTCAAGGAAATAGCGACGTATGTGGTCCATCTGTTAAGGGTTATGGTAATCATCTTCCCTACAGACCAGTGGCCCGGTGGCCTGGTGGCTAAAGCTCCTGCTTCACACACGGAGGGCCCGGGTTCGATTCCCGGCGGGTAGAAACATTTCGACACGTTTCCTTACACCTGTTGTCCTGTTCACCTAGCAGCAAATAGGTACCTGGGTGTTAGTCGACTGGTGTGGGTCGCATCCTGGGGGACAAGATTAAGGACCCCAATGGAAATAAGTTAGACAGTCCTCGATGACGCACTGACTTTCTTGGGTTATCCTGGGTGGCTAACCCCCCGGGGTTAAAAATCCGAACGAAATCTTATCTTATCTTACCACGGGCGGGGATAGAACCCTGGCAGTCTTCAAGCTGGCACTGGACAAGCACCTACAGTCGGTTCCTGACCAGCCGGCTGTGGCTCGTACGTTGGTTTGCGTGCAGCCAGCAGTAACAGCCTGGTTGATCAGGCTCTGATCCACCAGGAGGCCTGGTCACAGACCGGGCCGCGGGGGCGTTGACCCCCGGAACTCTCTCCAGGTAAACTCCAGGTAAAACTCCAGAACCCGCGATCAGTCCCTACAGCTTGATCTCGGATAAAGCCTCGTAGGTTGGAAAGGATGTAAGATTAAGAGCTATCAAAACACACATAATTTGCAGATATTTTACTCTCTTAAGTATAAGTTTGTAATTGCGTCATAGCGGAAAAAAGGTAACGTTTTCCACTTTTTACTCATTTGATAAGACTGCAGTACCTGCTTGAAGGACTGCAGTACCTGCTTGAAGGACTGCCGTCTACCAATCAACTACCTGAGGTCACTGAGACAGAAGTCTGCTATATTTGGATCAAGCCTTCACCGCAACATCCTCGAGTTCATTTTTCGGGACCCAGACAAAATCTAGGCATCTAAAGCAAGCCATATACTTGTGCTGTGCGTGGTGTACAGGAAGGGAAGGAAAGCTGAAGAGTGGTAAGAACGATAGAGGATGCCAGGAGGCACTGGGGATGGTATTTAGGATACAACGTTTAGGGAGTGTCCTGACACCGGCCACCTCGATAAAAACGTTTGACACTTCCCCTATGGGGCGTCACTGCCGGGTCACCACATGGAGAAGACCCGGGCCAGGACCCGTCCTGGCAAACCAACCTGTACCTGTAAGTGTCCAACTTCAAGGAAAACAAAAGACTTCAGGATTTGTCACCTTTTTATATCCCCAAAACATTTAACTGTTGCTACTATCTACAATGAATTTTGCTTAAATAAAGATATATGATGGATATATGACAAAAATATTTCAAACAAACGTTAACAGCATGATTAAATACTCGAGTGAATTTCGGAATATCCCAGTTTCTGTACACTATTCTCTTCATCGTAATTCAAAGTACCGTATTGTAAAGGAATTAATTTACATTAAATATGCTAGTATGTACATATATTTTTAGCAGACACTGCCGGAATAATTCTGAAATTCATGCGACTAGTACGTACAATTTATGATGGTTCAAATAAGTATTCTGAGATAGGAGAAAGAGAAAATTAAGGAGGAAATGCAGAGCGAGGCAGCAGAACTGTATAGTCCCTCGGCGTCGTGTGAAGTTCCGTTTTCTATGTCTCCATCGTCATCCGCTTTTGTCTGGGCCATCTTTGCTCTCTCCAGCTTCTCCTTCTCTAGGTCTTCGAACTTTGATCCTCCTCCAGGGTGGATGGGCATCAGTTCCTTGGGCAGACCATAGTGGACGATCTGGTCTTGGCCGTGGTTTTTACCCTCAGTAACTGGTAAGACTACAGGTTCTTGCATCACCTCCAAACTTGGACTGTGCTCAGTCCCAACTGTTGGTTCTAAATCTGCTTCAGATGTTCCCGTCCAATCGAAGGGCATTGTGGTCTCGTCCAAGCTACTCTCGGTAACATGGTGATGGAACCGAGTCTCTTCCGGCCAGCTGTGAGGCAATACTTCCTCCATGCTGTGTAGAAACATTTCACCAGAGCTAGGCTCCTCTCCCGAACTAACAAGAATCTCCTCCGAGTTGTCCTGGTGTGGGTAAGGTTCTGGACGCTCTGACTGCTCTGGCAAGTCGGTTCTACCTCTGAATTTTATTGGATACGTCTCCCCAGTCACCTTTTTCGGTCGTTGCCACTCCTGAAAAGAAAAAAACTATTTGTATGACAGCTCTAAAGATACCTACGGGAAAAGACTGGTCATATAGTTTCTTCATCCCACAACTTCCTTGAGGATTTACGAAATCGTAATAACACGATTGCAAACAAACCACGGTGTTAGTGGTTTTTTTTATATTTTATTTAAAAACGCAATACACAATTATACATGTAGACAATGTAAACAATGAAACGTAACCATTATATATAACAACAAAAAGCTCCACATTCCCTACCTTAGCACTAAACTTATACATAAAAAAACACACGTTCAACTAAAAAAAGTTTGATACCCCCCAAAAAAAACCCAACCATCACACATAACATACATTTAACTAAACTAAAGACAGCCCACAGCTTCAAATACAGGTGGGTTTATTACATCCAAAATTGCAGCCATAAACACAATATGCAATATAACCCAAAGAATGTCACAGGTATTTACATTTTACATAAAACTGTATGTACGAAGACATTCTCAATTATCCAAAAATTCTTTACACACTTATTATTGTTGTATATTAAACTTCATATGCAAATACATAATACATAACATCTCAAAAAATTGCGAAACAAATAAAGGTTAGAAAATAACAATCTCCACACCTCACCACAGAAAAACTAAACACAGTATAATATAACAAATGATTCGTTCCACTCACTTCCATACACTACATTCATCCCACAAGCGAACAAACACTACATCATCCCACAAGCGAACAAACACTACATCATCCCACAAGTGAACAAACACTACATTCATCCCACAAGCGAACAAACACTACATCATCCCACAAGCGAACAAACACTACATTCATCCCACAAGCGAACAAACACTACATCATCCCACAAGCGAACAAAACACTACATTCACCCCACAAGCGAACAAACACTACATCATCCTACAAGCGAACAAACACTACATTCATCCCACAAGCGAAACAAACACTTACATCATCCACAAGCGAACAAACACTACATCATCCCACAAGGAACAAACACTACATCATCCCACAAGCGAAACAAACACTACTTTCACCCCACAAGCGAACAAACACTACATCATCCCACAAGCGAACAAACACTACATTCATCCCACAAGCGAACAACACTACATCATCCACAAGCGAACAAAAAACTACATCATCCACAAGCGATAAACACTACTTCATCCCACAAGCGAACAACACTACATTCATCCCACAAGCGAACAAACACTACATCACCCCACAAGCGAACAAACACTACATCATCCACAAGCGAACAAACACTACATCATCCACAAGCGAAAAAAACACTACATCATCCCACAAGCGAAAAAACACTACATCACCCCACAAGCGAAAAAAACACTACATCATCCCACAAGCGAACAAAACTACATTCATCCCACAAGCGAACAAACACTACATCATCCCACAAGCGAACAAACACTACATCATCCCACAAGCGAACAAACACTACATCATCCCACAAGCAAAACAAACACTACATCATCCACAAGCGAACAAACACTACATCATCCCACAAGCGAACAAACACTACATTCACCCCACAAGCGAACAAAACTACATCATCCCACAAGCGAAACAAACACTACATCATCCCACAAGCGAACAAACACTACATCATCCCACAAGCGAACAAACACTACATTCATCCCACAAGCGAACAAACACTACATCATCCCACAAGCGAACAAACACTACATCATCCCACAAGCGAACAAACACTACATCATCCCACAAGCGAACAAACACTACATATCCCACAAAGCAAAACAAACATACATCATCCCACAAGCGAACAAACACTACATCATCCCACAAGCGAACAAAACTACATTCATCCCACAAGCGAACAAACACTACATCATCCCACAAGCGAACAAACACTACATCATCCACAAGCGAACAAACACTACATCATCCCACAAGCGAACAAACACTACATTCATCCACAAGCGAACAAACACTACATTCACCCCACAAGCGAACAAACACTACATCATTCCCACAAGCGAACAACATACATTCATCCACAAGCGAACAAACACATCATCCCACAAGCAAACAAACACTACATCATCCACAAGCGAACAAACACTACATTCATCCCACAAGCGAACAAACACTACATTCATCCACAAGCGAACAAACACTACATTCATCCCACAAGCGAACAAACACTACATTCATCCCACAAGCGAACAAACACTACATCATCCCACAAGCGAACAAACACTACATTCATCCCACAAGCGAACAAACACTACATTCATCCCACAAGCGAACAAACACTACATCATCCCACAAGCGAACAAACACTACATTCACCCCACAAGCGAACAACACTACATTCATCCACAAGCGAACAAACACTACATTCATCCCACAAGCGAACAAACACTACATTCATCCCACAAGCGAACAAACACTACATCATCCCACAAGCGAACAAACACTACATCATCCCACAAGCGAACAAACACTACATCATCCTACAAGCGAACAAACACTACATTCATCCCACAAGCGAACAAACACTACATCCCACAAGCGAACAAACACTACATTCATCCTACAAGCGAACAAACACTACATTCATCCCACAAGCGAACAAACACTACATCATCCCACAAGCGAACAAACACTACATCATCCACAAGCGAACAAACACTAAAATCATCCTACAAGCGAACAAAACATTTACATTCATCCCACAAGCGAACAAACACTACATCATCCCACAAGCGAACAAACACTACATCATCCTACAAGCGAACAAACACTACATTCATCCCACAAGCGAACAAACACTACATCATCCCACAAGCGAACAAACACTACATCATCCCACAAGCGAACAAACACTACATCATCCCACAAGCGAACAAACACTACATCATCCACAAGCGAACAAACACTACATCCCTCAAGCGAACAAACATACATCATCCTACAAGCGAACAAACACTACATTCATCCCACAAGCGAACAAACACTACATCCCACAAGCGAACAAACACTACATCATCCCACAAGCGAACAAACACTACATCATCCACAAGCGAACAAACACTACATCATCCCACAAGCGAACAAACACTACATCATCCCACAAGCGAACAAACACTACATCATCTCAAGCGAACAAACACTACATCATCCCACAAGCGAACAAACACTACATCATCCCACAAGTGAACAAACACTACATTCATCCTACAAGCAAACAAACACTACATCATTCTACAAGTGAACAAACACTACTCATCCCAAAGCGAACAAACATACATCATCCTACAAGCGAACAAACACTACTCACCCCACAAGCGAACAAACACTACATCATCCCACAAAGCGAAACAAACACTACATCATCCCACAAGCGAACAAAACACTACATCATCCCACAAGCGAACAAACACTACATCATCCACAAGCGAACAAACACTACATCATCCTACAAGCAAAACAAACATACATCATCCTACAAGTGAACAAACACTACATCATCCTACAAGCGAACAAACACTACATCATCCTACAAGTGAACAAACACTACATCATCCTACAAGCGAACAAACACTACATCATCCCACAAGCGAAAAACATACATCATCCAAATGCGAACAAACACTCATCCCACAAGCGAACAAACACTACATTATCCACAAGCGAACAAACACTACATTCATCCACAAGCGAACAAACACTACATCATCCCACAAGCGAACAAACACTACATCATCCACAAGCGAACAAAACACTACATTCATCCCACAAGCGAACAAACACTACATCATCCCAAAGCGAACAAACACTACATATCCACAAGCGAACAAACACTACATTCATCCCACAAGCGAACAAACACTACATTCATCCCACAAGCGAACAAACACTACATTCATCCACAAGCGAACAAACCACTACATCATCCTACAAGCGAACAAACCACTACATCATCCAAAACAAAGCGAACAAACACTACATCATCCCACAAGCGACAACAACACTACATCATCCTACAAGCGAACAAACACTACTCATCCTACAAGCGAACAAACACTACATCATCCTACAAGCGAACAAACACTACATCATCCTACAAGCGAACAAACACTACATCATCCTACAAGCGAACAAACACTACATCATCCTACAAGCGAACAAACACTACATCATCCTACAAGCGAACTTACACAATCACGTATATTGAGTAACATTTTTCAAATATAATTTCCATTTTTAATAACAAACTTCTTCTACCATATAATAAAATATACATAGTCATTACTATTAAACATTAACTTAAACAAGTACTATATTCTTATTCTACAACAGCAGCATTTCTTGCCTCACCATCCTAACCCTACTTAACACATTGTACATGAACACGTCCTTATATACCCATCACGTCAATAATATTCATTGAACTTCACCGAATACTAATATACAGCCCATACTGAGTACATGAAATTCTCTCTTACATACTGCTATATACACTTGATGTATGATAAAAATCACACACATTACATTATCTCATTATTAGCAGTACATTTGGTACACAGACATATTTATCACGCCCGCATGTCCTGTGCTTTGATACAACCACCAGTCCTGATAATACATTACAACCTATTCCAAATTTAACTTATCCATTACATACATCAGTAAACCATCCTGAGTATGACCGTAAACTTTTCACATTCACACAAATATTGCTCATTTCCATGCCCATAAAAATCTTAACAACTTTTCCCTTACGAACCACCACAAACTTACTTAAAACACACTCCACAACTACGCTGCCATTTCACACCGTATCAAGGAACTCCTCATACGTTCCCAAATTGAGACGAGCCCGGTGCAACCCCTGAAATTCCTAACACATCCCCCCCCCTTTTTTTTTTTCTCACTCCGCCAACAAACCTCTGACATTCATACTTCGATATCCTTCAGGAAAAGCCCTTTCCCA